TCACCAGCTCGTGTCCTTTTCTCGGTGAATGATTTCCGGTAACAATGTCTTTCTCATCCAATCCACAAACACACCACGTATCCTCCTTCCTAGCGAAAACAGTGGCAGTTTCAACACTAGATCGAAGACCAAGTGCACCTACTTAAAACAGAGATCATCATCATTGGTTCAAGCAAAGGTTCGGACTGGAACGGACATTCCGATGCAAACAGGATCCGAGAGACATTTTTGAGACTTTGAACAAGGGGACGGCGTTAAAACAGTAGAAATAACCTTCTTCCTCACAACAGACAAACCATGAGAAAGGAGGTATAGAAATGGGTTATCACTTCTGTCTTGTCTGTGTGCATATATTCGTCGCAATGCACTACAACTGCCGCAAGCGACGGGGTTCAAGACAAGCAGGAAGATGCCGTGGAAACGCGGGCTGCAACCGAGGAGGCGTTTCGGGAGAAGTTCGGGATCTGTTGACGTCGCGTATGCCGACGCCCTCAAAATGATCAAGATCAAGTATCAGAGAAGGGCCGTGGTTCCCTTACAAAAGCATGAGAGGAGACTTCAGGGTACGTCAGGGACGGGAAGCAACGCCCTGCTCGCTACGCGACTGGACCGAAAGCCACACAGCGATGTCGGGGATGAGGAGCGACGCGAACGGGCATGGGCGTAGCGGTGCAAAGCTGGTGACGTGCTTAAACTCCGTTTGACATTTTGATGCTGGCGTCTGGCGAAGTTGCCGGGCTACTCGCCATCTCGAAGCTGCCCAAGGGAGCGGGACTTGTCGCGGCGATGGCCGCAATGTTCAAGGACTGGGATATCGCCGACCGGGTCCGGGAGCTGATCTTCAACACTTTCCCCACCAATGCCGGCTTCCACGCCCGCGGATTCGCCATCCTCGGAGCCTACCGACATCGCACGGTGGTGCTGACTGCCATGAAGGCGTTCAGAGTCTGTCCGTGGCCGTTATCAAGACCACGTGCCCGGCTGTTTGAGCTCTTCGCACAATACCGTGTCCTCGTCGACAGGATGACGCTGGAGCCTTACGGTGACGACGCGCCCCAACATCTGTCCTCTGAGCCGCGTCACGACCGGATCATCTGTCCCCTGAGCCGCGTCACGACCGGATCATCTGTCCTCTGAGCCGCGTCACGACCGGATCATCTGTCCCCTGAGCCCGTCACGACCGGATCATCTGTCCCCTGAGCCGCGTCACGACCGGATCATCTGTCCCCTGAGCCGCGTCACGACCGGATCATCTGTCCCTGAGCCGCGTCACGACCGGATCATCTGTCCTCTGAGCCGCGTCACGACCGGATCATCTGTCCCCTGAGCCGCGTCACGACCGGATCATCTGTCCTCTGAGCCGCGTCACGACCGGATCATCTGTCCCCTGAGCCGCGTCACGACCGGATCATCTGTCCTCTGAGCCGCGTCACGACCGGATCATCTGTCCCCTGAGCCGCGTCACGACCGGATCATCTGTCCTCTGAGCCGCGTCACGACCGGATCATCTGTCCCCTGAGCCGCGTCACGACCGGATCATCTGTCCCTGAGCCGCGTCACGACCGGATCATCTGTCCTCTGAGCCGCGTCACGACCGGATCATCTGTCCCCTGAGCCGCGTCACGACCGGATCATCTGTCCTCTGAGCCGCGTCACGACCGGATCATCTGTCCCCTGAGCCGCGTCACGACCGGATCATCTGTCCCCTGAGCCGCGTCACGACCGGATCATCTGTTCCCGCTGAGCCGCGTCACGACCTGGATCATCTGTCCCTCTGAGCCGCGTCCACGACCGGTATCATCTGTCCTCTGAGCCGCGTCACGGGACCGAAATCATCGGTCCGCTGAGCCGCGTCACGACCGGATCATCTGTCCTCTGAGCCCGCGGTCACGACCGGATCATCTGTCCTCTGAGCCGCGTCACGGACCGGATCATCTGTTCTTGAGCCGCGTCACGACCGGATTCATCTGTCCTCTAAGCCGCGTCACACGCCGGATCAGCCAGGTGAGGCGCCCTCCGCGACCAGGAGACCCCGGAATCCCAGAACCTAGGCCCCAACTAAAACGCGAATTAGCTCGAAATCACAGGTGAATGTTCTTTCATAGGAGTGCCGAAAGCAAGGAAATCCGGTTTCTCCCTGCTGGGGTTCTCCACCGCGCCCGCTACATTGCGCCGAGATTTGTGACATCGAGACCGTCCTTCTGCGGAAGATCCGCTGATGCCGGCAAGCGATCCGGAATTTCGCACTTGTCGTTGTCGTTATCTCCTACTAGGTGCATCGTCCAAGATGTGGTTATGATATATAGCACACCAAGATCTTCAACAATACTTGCATAAATGCATGCATACATATATATGCATATGTATGTAAATATATATATATATATATATATATATATTTAATATATATAGATAATATATATATGTGTGTGTGTGTGTGTGTGTGTGTGTGCGCGTGTGTATTGCTGCAAGGAGTTAGCACTCATGTACTTATAACTATTAGATTGCTGCTATGTTTTAAACGCATTACTGATTGTCGTGTCCATTTTTATCACGATGAAGTTGTTTTACCAGCCCCCTATACACTACTATGGACAACTGTGAGGAATTGTAAAGGAAAGACTATGGCGCTCACGATAAGGAAGAGACAAATCAGAAACGCATGCTTCAACTTCATACGTATTTAACCAAAAACCAATATCGTCTTAGCTACTTAACACGGTTTTGAATGGAAATGATTATAGAACTAGTGGCCATATGTCCTGTCAATACCCATTCGCCGATGCGACACCTGCGCGGGACATGTCAATGTTGAAACTCCGCAGACGTATTGTAACGGAAGAAGAGAACGGCTGGCGAGAAGATAGATGCCATGCAAATCAGGAAGGATGTCACAAGTTCAGGGCGCAAGAGCTTATGGGGCGTAGAGGCTAAAATCATAAATCCAGTTTTTTACCACAAAATGTCATCAGAGGGCATGTTATCATGTTGCAGGTCCCAGACCACATTTTTACCAAAGGGGCGAAGGACAAATACTTAGTTTGCCCGAAGTTGGAAGGCCTGCTGCACAACCCTTGGTCTCCGTACCATTGTAAAACATTAACAACTTGCACAGATGTCTACGCATGCAACTCAAAGCTATCTCTGTGAGCCCACTGCCTTTAAGCCAAGTGACATTCAGATGGCTATCAAGATGTGCAGGTCCGCAGACGACGCTTGCACCCAGGCCAGGGCTTGGCTGTCAAACCACAGGCACACCTCGGCCGGTCCTGCGGATTAGAAATGCGGGCAGAGGCACGCCATGTGATGAGTCAACCGAAGACTTCGTCAGCGAATCATTTTGAAAGATCAATCATTCCTCGTAGACGAAATTCCAGCGAAGTCAACACTGCTTACCACGATACCCCCACCGCCTCCCCGAGTGTAAGCCGCGGAGAGGAATGGGGTCACCCCGACACTGTCGCTGGCGGTAAGATGGCGGTGATGATTATTGACAGTGCGACGATATCATATCGTGGCCTCTCTGCCCTGGCTTTTCAAACCTCCGTTTGGTGCTGTTGTAGGGGGTCGTCTTGCATTAAGGTGTGGCCGTTCCACGGTCTGGCTGCTCCTAATCCGCCCAGTAGCTGCTCTCGCTGCT